GCTGCCACTAATTGTAACTCCACTGCAATGCTATCTCAGTAATAAATGAAACATACTTTTTACACACCTAGGTACTAACCACACATTGATCAAAGACAATCATAATGAGGAAGTAGTCTTGACATTTAATACTGGGATCTACTATGGTCATCTGCGTAGCTATAGTGATTTCTTTATCTCCTTTAATGCTTATCTGGTGAAGTCAATGTAAAAGTACATGGGGCTGACTGGATAATAGTTAATATACATGTGTATACTACAGTAAGCAGATACTGTTGTTTTTAAAAGTTTATTGTACATTGTTTCTGTGTGTGTTGAATAGTGGATATACTTCAGTGTTTGACACAACTTATAGTGTATCTACTTCTTTTTTGCCAGAATCTCACCTCTCTTGATGAAGTTGTAGAAACAGTAAACAGAGACCTTGCAAAGCTCTCAGCTGAGATGTGTATTATATGGAAAAAATATTTAGATGTAATGGGAGAAAACCACTACGTTATAATAAATCTTATGGAGGAACACCACAGGACTAGGGTAAATATGGACTAGACTCATTTTTTTTGTCTTAAGGTATTTGAAGCTTAATTTAAATTTTACACTTTTGGGCTTGGTATTTTGCATGCAATGCATCATGGGAGACAATTTCAGATAACCTATTTCTTTCATTTTTTTTTCTGACATCCTAAAATTCTGTTCAAACATCTTTAATTGCTCTCATGATTGTAGCTACTTATAATCTTTGAGAAAACTAAATGCAAAAAAAATTACCAACATTCTGCAAGGTGACTCTAGGATTTTGGAATTCCATTTTGACTTGATCTCTCTGAAATAAGTTCTGTTAGAAATACACTGGTTATCTTGAGTGTAAATGAGGTTACTTTTAATTATTAAAATGTCTTTTTATTTTCTGTGAATGCTAAATTTTACAAATTAAAACCAACTTAACTTTTTTTTTGCATATTGTTTCTAAAATTATGAGTATGAAATGTAGCCAGAAAGAAACTATGTTTATTTGGTCTGAAATTATCAAAAACCAAGCTGACTGTTACTTTCTGATTCAACTATTTCCAGATCCAGAGATTTTCTGAAGCGTTTTTTACGATTGACAACCCAAGAGAAATGGCGATGGCATTTCATGAGTTCAAGTAAGTGTTCAAATCATAGCTTCTAAGATTCTACTTTCTGTATTGGTTTTTTGTACAGTTATTTATCAGGAATCTTAAAGGTATTTGGATAATGTTAAATCATATCCCCAGATTTCTTTGACTTCTACAGTTATTTTATGTTGTTTTTCGCAAAATACAGATAAAAAAAGATTTTCACCAAATTATTTTTTTCACCAAAAATTTGTCACTGGTAGATTTTTGAGCAATTACGACTGGTTCCTATGATAAAAAAGTGTTGTCATATTTTAAAATTGATGTTGATTTCAAATAGTGAAGAAGATCAGTTTTAAGAAGAGTACAAAATGTACTTATTATTAGTTCCTGATCCAAGCCATGCTGTTTTAGAGCCATGATACTGGACTGATTGCAATCAAACTATCATCGTATTGCCCAACTTTGTAACTCTATGGGAAACCTGATGAGTATTCAAGCTTGCACACCTTGTTGGTGTTGTAGCATGAGGCACACAAATATCAATTAATTCACACTCTGAACATTTGAATAAATAGTAAAAAATAACTGAGATAAAAGTAATTCAAAACAATTTAATGGACCCTATAAGGTATATTATAAAACCTGTATTCACTGGATACGGTTGTCTACGGTCATACGGCTAATGTACCATTCAAAGCTCTGCCATATGTCCTATATATAAATTTTGTTATTAAAGTAGATTTTAAGATTAGTGTCTGTTATAAATATAATTAAACTGTTTTTTTATTGTAAGCAAACTGACCCTTGGATTATTTTGGTGCAATTTTTTGCATTTCTTTAATTTCAATAATTATTTTGAACTAAATAATAAATTCACATAAGCTACAACTCTTGATTAAAATTTAGTTAAAACTATTTATTGGACTTTTGTTTTGTGATATTTTCTTCAGCTCCAGTGGAGACAAAGTGTCAAAGGCAGATGCCAGGTAAAATTCTACATTAAAATGAGTTGGTGATCTGTGATGGTGTCATCGTTTCCATGGGAATATATCATTCTGTCACCTAATTCCTCATTTCACACAATTTGTAGATCACTCTCAGCCAAGTATGCAAATTGTTGTCGTTCTGTGGGAACTGTTGTTGAGCAGTATAATATTGTCAGTATCATTTCTCTCACAGAGTCCTCATAGTTTTTGGTGTCTGTTTTGTTCAATTTTGTCAAACTTTTTCTATCTCCAAAAGTGATTTGATGTTGCACATCTGTGACTTTTCCTCCAAAAAATCCTAGAAAGTAGCGAAATTCTAATTTTATTCAAAATTACCAAATTGTCAAATCATGGATTAAACAATTCTTAATCTTACACATTGACTTGTTTCCATTATGCCATACTCTACTTTAAGAATGTGTTTTAAACTAACTCATGTTTTGATGATCTAATATACAATTATAATAGTTTTTATTTTATGTGTGCCTCTGTAGTAACAGTCTGTGTCAAATTATGTCTATTTGGTACAAAACTAACTTTCATTTGAGGTAAACATTTTAAAATGGTTGCACTGAAATATCAGATTGACAAAGATTTTTATCTCTTTATTTATTTTCTATAAATACAGCAATCTTGCTTAAATTTAAAGACATATTTCATGTATATAATTGATGGAAGGGAAATAGTGTAACTGATTTTCAAGTTAGTTCCCTCACATTCATTAATACTAATACCATTTTGATTATGGGTACTGTAAAGTCATTATATATTTCAACTATTCACTCCCATTGTGCATTTTACTGTTGCTAAGGTACCTGGCTGTACTGGTAAACTGATTGTCATGTTACACATAAATATTAATATGATATTATTTATCATGTTTTGACATCAAGTTCATCCTTTATTCATTCAAATGTGATAACATACTTCAGAATATTAAAAAAATGTGTGGTTATTGTACAAACTTATTGCAATGCTGCTTCACTTATAATGGTTTTCTATGATGATAAATTTATTCTGAGATTTGTGAGGATTTAGTATGAGTTTGTGTTGTAGAGACATGAGGTAAGTTATAACCATTTTGACACCAGTTCCAAATTCACAAAATAGCCCTGTTAATAGTCTGCACTTTCCTGCAGAAGATCGGGACAAAAATAGTCAAACATTTTTGAGTAAAAACTGAAAATTGATTTAAATTTTGTCTGTTGACTCCAAAATTAGGGTTCATTTCCAGAAATATTGAAAAAATATAAGAAAAAAGTGCAGAAAAATTTTGGGCAAGAAAGTGGTGAAAAGGTTAACAATCATTTTTGTATTGTCTCACTTTATAAAACAGAAAGTATGTCATGGTGGAAAGACATTTAAAGATTATGCAGTCAATTTAAAGGTATTTTGTTATGTCTGACACTGTATTAACATGTTAATGTTTTGTATCTTTCAGTGCTCAAGGCCATTCTTATATAGCCCAGGCCGTGAAATCCAGCCAGTACTTCCATTTACTCCCCTCTATGCAGATTGAATGCGTTGAAAGTGATGGAGATATAAATACAATACCGGTTATTTTTGAAGAGAAATACCTTCAGTCAGTGAGTTACAACCAAGGTACTGAAAATACCATGATCAGATCCTTACACTGCAAGGAAGTAAGCTTCTTTAGATAGTGCATGGAGGTATAAACTGTTAATACTTCTATGGATAGTGGATCATTATTGCTGTTAACCCTGTAGGAGGGCACACATGAAATCATTTTTTTAATTTCTGACAACAGAATCTATGATGTCATACTTTACCCACAATCCTTTGCTTGAGAATCAAGATGGCTAACTCCATAATACTGATCAAAAGTTGAATATCTAGAGAATGAAAAGTGATATAAAAAAACTGTAAATTGCATTCTCCTACATTTGTGAAGCTTTTTCTTGAGGGGTCAATATGTTGTTTGGCTTGATGTTTCCTTTAATAAATAGGGCATTTGTAGGTGAAAATAAAACAATGGCTACCATTATTGAATATACCATGTACATTGTATTAAGGTAAAGATGCAGGTTCGTGGGCACTTGGGAGTGATATTTTTTTTTTCTTTTTATTGTCCAAACAGTCTTTGCTAGACTGTTAAAATTTTGTAGAATTGTGAATAGTGGAACATACTCAAAAAACGATTTTGAAACATAGATAAAAGGTGCAAACATTCTCTCTTTTGAATGCTTAGCAAGATTTAGCAAGGCTGTACATAAATAAAAGAAAAAAAACATGGTGAAAAAAAGAAATGACGGGATCTCCATATTATGCACTATATTTTACTTTTAACAAAACGATAATACATTTAAATTTGAAACTGTATCAGCCATTTTAATTATGAGCATTAACAAACTTCTTACTGAGTGAATTGTTATGCAAATTAGCAATTATCTCAGCTTCTTATTAGAGCACATCCCAGAATTTTAAAACAAAATAGCTCCTAGACGCTTTGACCTTTTGTTTTGAAAGTTTCACAAATGATTGACAATGTGTTTATCTTCAAAACGCCGTTGGGGCATTGTTTTTGTTGAACAGTGTTACAACAATCGAACAGACAACTAGACTGGGTGTTAATTTATGCATAAACTTGAAGTAGTGAAATTTGGTCTGCTGCCCTGCAAAATTGACAACTGGTAGACAGTTTTCAAGATGGCACTTTCTTCATAGCAAACAGATGTACCCATAAACCAATTTTGACAGGAAACAGAAGCATTGTTTAGGAGCTAATTTTCTTTAAATCACTTTTGACCAAAAAAGCACATTTTTGTGCATATTTCAAACTACAGTGACCATAAAAAAAATACTAACACAATTTTAAAATTCATACAATAAGCTTTCCAAAAATATATAGTTTTGTAGACAAGGAAAGTCATCTTGGTTTCCTAATTAACTAATTAAAATAGCTGTCAGGTAAACTGCATCTCTACCTTAATCCTTTTGCAAATTTAATGCCGCCTTTTTATGCCACTTTTGTAGACCCCCTTGTGCATTGACTGTTGGTTTACACTCATGATGTTATCAGTAAAATAAATGATGATTTTTTTTTTTTTTTTCAGTTTCTCCCGTTGACCTTGATCAGATAGCTGCCACGGTAAAGGAGGTAAAGGCGCAATCTAAAAGTGGAAAGGATGGTTCAGACAATAAGAACAAACCAAAACTTCCAGAATCTACAGCAGATCCCTCGAAACTTCAGAAAACTCTATCAGAGACTAGATCGAAACCAAAATTTGGGGGGAAAAGCTTTATTAAAAATATGAAGCCGGAATCATTTCGGCGGCCATCATCCGCAAGATCGGACACAGACCAGGTAGTATTACTTGGATATAAACAATACAATATGGATGGTGGTACCCTCGCAGAATTTGAAGCGGATTTAGAGAGAGATTCAACAAGACATGCATTTGTCAGGACTTCAGCTAGTTCTGTTTCTCTCCCAACACTATTAATATCGGATTTATCTGCAAACAAACGCTTGTCACTGCAGGAACTAAAGCAACAACGACATTTACAGAATCAACAATTGTACAAGATTTCTCACTCAGATGCGGAGATTTCTCATACCAAGGAATCAGACAATGAACAGAGTTTGGATGTGTCCAAGAGTCTGGGTAAGAACCCAACTTTATGTCATTTACGGCAACGTTCGCTTGATATAGGAGTTTTAAGAACGGTCAGTGAAAGGAGGAAGGTACAGGAAGAAGTGAATAACTTGATAACAAATGCTGATTCAACTACCGCTGGTGACAGAAAAGCAAGCGGTGCTACGGATAGTACTGATTCAGCTGTCGACATTCGTAGCATTGATGGGTCTACTCTTGAAGTCAAGGATATTGTGCCCTCTACAGGCAGTACAGTAAATTTTGAAGTGAAGCCTGAAGATGTAAAAGTCTCTGTGAATGCAGTTACCAAGGAGACAAAAGATGATGAAGTAAAAAATTCTCCTGCACTAAATGACGATTCAAAGAGGACTAGTGAGTGTTTACAGCTTGGTCCCATTGTAGATGGCGCTAACCATGTTAACAGTTGTGTAAAAACTGTAGAAGGGGCTGTTCTCACTGAAAAAGTGAACGACCAAATAATTACTTCATCATCCTTAGCACAAATTATGGAAAACAGCAATACTTCTTTAGTGGTTGGTGATGTCACAAGTGAATCCACCAATAATGGGTCTGTGAATTCTACAAAAACTACCATCAAAGTTTTTAAATTGCCAAAATTTGAAAATAGCACCACTTTAGATGACAAGAACGGTGCTTCCACTGGAGTGGAAACTACAAGTATTGATGAGAAAAATAGTGTTTCTGAATCTGGTACTGAAAATGTCAACAAGAACAGTATTTTCGATTCAGGTACTGAAAATGTCAACATGCATGGGGTTTCTGAATCTGCTTCTGAAAATGTCAGCAAGAATATTGTTTCTGAATCTGGGATGAATATTGCTGTCGAAAATGATCTCAGCCCTGCTACCATAGAAACTGAATCAGAACACATAGACACCATGAAAGCTTCCACTGTTTTAGACGAAAATAGCCCAACATCGAGAAATTACTCTCTAAAAAGTGTGTATCATGATGATGGTTATAGCGCTATTGACGACATTGCATGGAAACAATCCAGCGGATATAACTCAACCAATAGTATGAGTCCTGTTACACCAACAGCTGGCTGTCTAACATTCACTAGTTTTGTAAAGACACAGTCGGCCATATGTGGACCACCTCCGATTACATCACAACCATCAAGTGTCATCAATACCACTTCTGTCTGTGAGTCAGAAAACCAAGAGATTAAAGTAAATGCTAAAGAACAAGAATTGTCAAGTATTGTTGATCCCCAAGAGAGGTGAGAGTAATAACTAAATTGAAAAGTATTTTAACTAGTTGTAACTAATGATTGTTTTTTACCATCAAATGTTTCTATTCAGACACTATTCTTATTGTGTAAACCACAGAATCTTTTGTCTACAGAGTCTGATAATATTTTTGGAAAAATTGGAAATGTTTGATTTTATCAGATTAATGTATTCAAACATCATGTATTGACATTTCTACAATCAATGCCTAGGAAAGATGGCAGGTTTATCTTCTTCTCTATCAGACAAATCGATTGCATTTTAGTCTAATAAATTTGAGCTTCATTTCATAACGAGTTGTACATTTATCTCTATAGTGTATTTTATATCAGTGGCTGCTATGTAACTTCTTACCAATGAAATTGACATAGTAGCATAACAATGAGAGCCAATAATTCTTTTTGTTAGTGATGTTACTTTCCAGAAAATTCAAGTATGACATGAACAGCATAATGAATATATGAACACAATGCAACTTTTATCTCTAATACTGTAGAATACTTTATTTTCGCTTGGAATTAATTTTTGCTATTTTCGCTGAAGGAATGATTCAGTGAAAATAAAATCCAGCGAATATACCTTTTTTCCTATATTTTACATTCAACTTGTCAAAAATCAGTGAAAATAAATTCCATACAAAATACCCAAAATGTCTTTTCAGCGAAAATTAATTCCAGCTAAAAAAAAGTATTCTACAGTATACCTGGGCCAATCACACTCCAACTTTATACATATACATCATATATCTTAGTATAATCAATGTCCATTTGTTTCACAGTCTGATTTAATGTTTGCCATTCCAGAAGGTCATTTTGTTTTTTCAGATTGGAATTTGAAATGGCCGGCCGTCTGGCAGCCATTTTGTTTTAACAAATGCTGTTCTGGAACCATAATTCTGATGTGCCTTAACTAATCACATTCAAACTTTATAGATACATGTGCATGTTTGACTATCAGATGGCCGTTTTAAAATCATCAAAATTCAGCTTTTCTGCTATACTGAAACCAGATAATGCATGTACATGTGTATATGGATGGATTTCATTCAAACTATATACCTTGAATATTATGAAACCTTGATGTACACCATTTTGTTTTAATGAATGTGGTTCCGAAGCCATATTTCTGAAGAAATCTTGATTGATCATTTTTAAAACTTAATATATATTTAAATGATAAACCATATGTTTCAGTATTTGTTGAAAATGCATCAAAATTTACGACTTTCCTGGCCTGAATCATACATTCAAAATGGCAGACTCATTTCAGTTTTATTTACTATTGAACCAATAGTTACACACTGTACTCTCGTACATGACTTGTTTAACACTGAAAATAATATGGTAGTTCTTTTTCAGAGGACGTTGTGGAACTGAAACGAGCTGTTTATGTGTTTCAGGTTTCCCTATGATAAAATCTCTGAATTACTGTAACTTACTTTACATTTTGAGAAGTGATTATCTAAAAAAAACAAGCATTACTTTGTGAGCAAATTTACTATGAATTACTTCATTTTCTCTCTAAGTTTATTTTTGCTGAAGGAATGAATCAGTTAAAAATTGTTTTTTTCTATATTTCACATTCAACTCATCAAAAACAGGAAAAATGTCTAGCAAAAATCAATTGCAACTAAAATAAAGTATTTTACAAAACAACTGCCAGGTTAATTGTCTTGATTTAGGTTTTTACAACCATATTGTCAAGAAGCAGCTATATTAATTAAACATGTTTTCTCGTTGACAGATTTGAAGCTGCTAAAGCTGATTTTAAAAACCGACTCAAATTTCCTGGTGACATTTACAGTGATTTGTCGCTACAAGCTGCCATGTTGCCGTATTTTAGCGTCAGCGCGAGTGATATAGATAATAATGATGACATGGAGGATCTGCATTTGGTTGTCTGTGTACATGGATTAGATGGTAACATGGCAGATTTGAGATTAGTAAGAACGTATATTGAGCTTGGATTACCTGGGGCGAAAATGGAATTCCTTATGTCGGAAAGAAATCAGGTGAGGAATGTAATAACATACACATAAACATCATTGTTGTTTTAGAGTCTATGCTGTTTCAAACATCATGTATTGACATCTCTGTAATCGATACCTCGGAATGCTGCAGGTTTATCTTATTAGCTATGCATATATATTTCAATGTAACATCCTATGGCTGGCTTTCCAAAAACATACACTGCTTTAAGGTTGATAGCTGTGATCATATGCATTGACCTGTATGCCTAAATTGTAGAGGTCTCTGAGAAACTTTTGAATATGAGCGATAAGATTTTAGGCTATGAAGGACGTGTCACATTTCTTCTAAAAATTGTTATGATGTAATAAAGTGATAGCACTTCACAACAAATAAATAAAGTCAGAATGACTCCCTGTCTAAAGAACTCAAGTAAAATTATCACTAAGATTCCCTGTTTCTCATTGAGGAGGGAAACCTATGCATACCTTTTTATAGTCTGATCCAAAATGGCTACCAGTCAGCCATTTCAAATTTTATATTAAAAAAATTGCATGTCATTTTGAATTTCATAGATTAGATTTAATTGTTTGTGTATTGTTATCTAATATTTCTTTAAATTCATTGTTCAATAGATGGACACATTTGCTGACTTTTCTGTGATGACAGATCGACTTGTTGGTGAAATTCTTTACTACATAGATGTCTACTCTCTAAATCCTACCAGAATAAGGTATGTATAGCACCCTCAAGTGTTATACCGGTACATGTAGCATCTCTATGCAAGGGCGGGAGGCAAAAGTGCCTGGGTTAATACAATACTAGAAATAATACATGAATATTTTCATTCTTGGATAAAATAAGTTTAATAGTAACATTTTAGAAATGAAAAAAAAAAACAGTACTATGAGCATTGCCGTGGTGACATGTTTTGATTGAACTTGTGCATGTATTGGTTTTGCACCTTGCTCGAGTTTTAGAATACAATGTACGTACGTCTAGCGTGTACAAGACAAGGCCTCGCGCTTTTTGAAAACGTTTGAATATAGGACGCATTCACCCCGCTCTTCATAATAAATAGACACAACTCAAGCTGACCAATAGGTGTTCGCCATATAGAACACGTGACCTGCAATTTTTCATCCAATGCTCGTACCATTGCTTACGTGTACCATGCTCTTCTTCACATTATTATGCATGTCTGCCTTATATGAAACAAGGTACACACCATGTTCAATCATTAAAAAACATAATTCACTAATCTGGGCTCAATATCGAATATTTGCTGTGAAATGCAGAAACTTTAATAATCGCTGTTGTGCGGTCACGCATGATGCATTGCTGTCACTAGATGCGTAGTTACCATTCTGTGCATATTTAAAGTTAGCTCGATGACGGGCGAAATAAGCTTACTGGAAATAAAACAACGATATACCCACACACTACTGCAGCTACTGATGTGTTGTAAACAACCAACCAACTTCCTGGGTGATAATTTCTTAAACATTCTTAAACATTCAATCATTTTCGGTATCACGTGATGAATCCTGGTGATGAACCTTCTTATCATCTACAGTGTGGCGTAACTTAAGACTAACCATACAAAATCTTTGAAAATTTTATGTGGCTTGTACAGTTAGACTTGAAGCTAGCTTGGCATGCACATGAGCACATTAAATTATATACAGTGAAAGTTGTCTCATAGCATGGCTAAATACTACAAGGAATAAAAAGGTATACTCTGGCTATAAGTTGAATTAGATAAAGTATAATATCATGTGAAAGCATCTGCTACAAAGTTTTTAAATCAGGTGTTATATTTTATTTTTTAGTTTTATTGGTCACTCACTTGGCAATATTATAATACGTTCTGTGCTGACAAGACCAGAGATGGAACCATGGTTGGATAAATTACACACCTTTCTCTCGTTATCAGGACCACACCTGGGAACTATGTATAATAGCAGTGCAATAGTCAACACAGGTAAGTTAGAAGAACTTCAATCTGCAAATTGACGTGAATGCCAATTATTTGTGAAAGTTTATGCCAGTTATAAGTTATAGTGTCTCTTCCACCTACATGTATTATTCTGAAACGGTATATTTTTTATGTGCATGATTTCAATATTTTACTTTGTATCAACCCACACACTAAAGCTATTCAAAATAATATATTGAAATTATAGTTTTAAAGACCTAGTGTCTTTTTCACATACCTCCACCACTGATAATAACGCTGGCATCCCTTTCCCCTTGCCTACAGTTAGGATGTAATATTTATTTATTGAACTTCTTTGGAGTGGAGCTTATCATATGAACGATTGTCCGTTGACGTTCGTGTCAACTTTGTCAAGCGGAGCTTATAATGTGCATGATTGTCAGATTTGTTCATTTTCTAATGATATCTTCGAAGAAGTTCGAAAACAGGGACCGATTTCATTCATTCTATGCATGTGCCTTGTACTTTATGTGGGACATATGCACATGTGGTGGTTTAGGGATTCGATTCAAAATGGCCTGCTGGCAGCCGTCTTGTTTTTAAAAATGTCATACTGTAAAATGACTAATTTTCACTGGGTTTAAATTTCACTGATTTACCATTTCGGGCATATTCAGTGGGTTTTAAATTCACGGTTTCGTCATTTAGATAATGTGTTCTATGCTAAATTTTACATATTCACTGTGTTTTAATTTAGCGCATTTTTCCAGTCAGCGAAATAAGCTAAATTAAAACCCAGTGAATAATTACCCCCTTTACAGTATTTTGGACATGCTTTGTCAGTTTTCATTCAAATTTGGTTCATAGATTATACATGTCTGTCCGTCCGGAGTCATATCTCAGAATCCCTTGGACCGATTCCATTTATCCTTTGCATGTGCCTAGTACTTTGTGAGGGACATATGCACATGCAGTGGTTTAGCGATTCAATTCAAAATGAGCCGACTGGTGCATCTGTCTGGCCGGAGTCATATTTCAGAAGCTTTCAGACTGATTCCGTTCATTCTTCGCATGTGTCTGGTATTTTATGTTGGACGTATGCACATGTAGTGGTTTAGCGATTTGATTCAAAATGGCAGCCATCTTTTTTTTTAAATGTATTTTGGACATGCTTTGTCAGTTTTCATTCAAATTTGACACATACTTTAAACATGTTAGAATACATGTCCATGATGATTTGTTTCAAAATCGGATCAAGAATGGCCGATTGACAGTCATCTGACTTTTTGGCCATACTACTATAATATTTCCAAGATTTATGTACCATTTTCATTTGTATTTGGCACATGTCAGTTTGTTTCATAATCAGATCAAAGATGGCCGAATAACAGCTTTTTTTGGCCATAGTACTATATCTCTGTCACCCATGTACATGTATCATTTACATTTACATTTAGCATGTCATAAATTGATACATGTACACGTCAGTTAAATTCGCAATTTGATCAAATATGGCCGAATGGCGACTATCTTGTTTGTTTAAAATGCATTAATCCGGGAGGGGGCTTATAGTTTCGCCTTTGTGTCACTGTGTCATTTTCATTGACTTGTTGAAATGTACATTGCTAACAGTGAAGCTATCTCTGCCGACAGGCTGCTTATATAAATTGTTGTATTCATATATTTTTGGTAGGTATGTGGTTCATGCAGAAATGGAAAAAGTCTGGGTCACTGTTACAGTTAGCGTTAAAGGATCATTCTGATCCCAGGAAAACATTTATGTATAAACTCAGTGAAAAACCAGGTAAGTTTCGTCATTGCAAATACATTGTACATGTATGTAAGGCAATTTATGAGTCAGCTCAGCAATCTCTGCTGTTGAAAAGAAAAGTTCACACATGATAAAATCATTATGTTGTAGTCATTTAAAGACATTCATCAAAATGCAGATGATAATGAACTTGATAAAATGAACTTGATAAAATTCTATCACTTTGAGTACCAAAATCAACAGTTGTCACTTTTCTCAAATTAAAACATTTTTTTACACAAATATTGTTCATGACCTGCTGTAGGTACCGGTAGTAGGAATTTTTTCATTCCTTGTGGTGATCACAATAATCAGGGGAAAGTCTTCTGCATATAGTGAAAATGAAACTTTAGCCTACACTTCCACCACCAGCTTTGTCACCCAAATTTTTCTGTATTTTTTTTCTCATATTCTTCAATATTTCAGGGAATGAACCCTAATTTTAGGGACAACAGACAAAATTTGAGTAAATTTTTGGTTTTTACTCCATACAAATTTGCTCTTTTTGTCCCAATCTACTGAAGGAAAGTACAGACTATAAACAAGTCTATTTTGTTAATTTGTGTTGAAAAGAGGGAACAGGTTGTGAAAATGTTAAGACATTTTGGCTGAAGTTGTATGCATCATCAAGAACTACCAACATTTTAACATGTTGTATGTTGTTCAATGCAATGTTTTATATATAACGTGTAATATTTCTGGTTCATTATTTAGGTTTTGAGCTTTTCAAGAATGTTTTATTAGTTGGGTCTTTGCAGGATCGATATGTACCGTATCATTCAGCTAGAATTGAGATGTGTAAAAATGCTATGAAGGATAACTCTACATATGGTTAGTATTGCTTCTTACTTTGCTTTTTACATCATAAAAAACATACTGTAGTTGATCGAGTATACAACCCTCTAGGAAAACAGCAAATTAACGAAAAATTGGGGTGGGGAAGGGGGCCTTCTAAATGGATAAAAGTTAAATCCTATAGCAATCCGATAGATGACTTGTAAAATGCTGTAAATTTGGAGGTGGGGGATTTTACTCAAGCAGGGATTTATACTCAGACAACTTCGATAACATAGGTGCATAGATTCTAGGTGTAGTGTAGAGGTCTTAGGTGCGTAGATTCTAGGTGTAGTGTAGAGGTCTCAGGTGCCATAGATTCTAGGTGTAGTGTAGAGGTCTTAGGTGCATAGATTCTAGGTGTAATGTGGAGGTCTCAGGTGCCATAGATTCTAGGTGTAGTGTAGAGGTCTCAGGTGCATAGATTCTAGGTGTAGTGTAGAGGTCTCAGGTGCATAGATTCTAGGTGTAGTGTAGAGGTCTCAGGTGCCATAGATTCTAGGTGTAGTGTAGAGGTCTCAGGTGCATAGATTCTAGGTGTAGTGTAGAGGTCTCAGGTGCCATAGATTCTAGGTGTAGTGTAGAGGTCTCAGGTGCATAGATTCTAGGTGTAGTGTAGAGGTCTCAGATACCATAGATTCTAGGTGTAGTGTAGAGGTCTCAGGTGCATAGATTCTAGGTGTAGTGTAGAGGTCTCAGGTGCCATAGATTCTAGGTGTAGTGTAGAGGTCTCAGGTGCCATAGATTCTAGGTGTAGTGTAGAGGTCTCAGGTGCATAGATTCTAGGTGTAGTGTAGAGGTCTCAGGTGCCATAGATTCTAGGTGTAGTGTAGAGGTCTTAGGTGCGAAGATTCTAGGTGTAAAGTAGAGGTCTCGGGTGCATAGATTCTTGGCGTAGTGTAGAGGTCTCAGGTGCCATAGATTCTAGGTGTAGTGTAGAGGTCTCAGGTGCATAGTTTCTAGGTGTAGTTTAGTGGTCTCAGGTGCATAGATTCTAGGTGTAGTGTAGAGGTCTCAGGTGCATAGTTTCTAGGTGTAGTTTAGTGGTCTCAGGTGCATAGATTCTAGGTGTAGTGTAGAGGTCTCAGGTGCCTTAGATTCTAGGTGTAGTCTAGGTCTCAGGTGCCATAGATTCTAGGTATAGTGTAGAGGTCTCAGGTGCCATAGATTCTAGGTGTAGTGTAGATGTCTCAGGTGCCATACATTCTAGGTGTAGTGTAGAGGTCTCAGGTGCCAGTTCATTAAGGTCCCTTAACACTTTGTCGTAAATGTTTTATCAGATGCACTCATACTGAATGGATGTAAATTCTCTGTTTAGTATTATGCTAGTGTGTTAGAAAGACAGTTATAAGCTTTTAGCATATATATATTATAGGTTGGTGCCTCGTTTTAAACCTTGTTGCGTGTAGCGCAAAATCAGCATTATATTCCTACTAAATGTGTGGTTCTCTCTCATTGAGATTTGTATCACTGCTATGAAATACTCATATTTATACCTTTATTTACCAAATTATACTGTTTTTGAATATCAATGAAAAGTAATTGCATTTTTAATAATTATATGAGAATATGATATATAAAGTATGACCTTCAGAGGTCAGTAATAAGACCCATTTTTTATCGTTTATTGTTTTCTTTACATTTGTTTAAAGGTGCCATATATGGAGAGATGATCAACAATATCTTGAAGCCAGTGATACGCAATCATGATATTACGTTTATACGGTATGATGTCGTTCATGCTTTACAAAACACTGCTAACACACTGATTGGTAGAGCAGCTCATATTGCTGTTCTGGATTCTGAGATTTTCATTGAGAAGTTTATGACAGTTCGTGGCCTTGACTTTTTTAAGTAGCCGATTATCTTTTTTGTACATTTCAGTTTTTTAATCTTGGTTTTGATGGTTTGTGATTTTTTTTACTAAAAAAATTTGAAACTACACAAAGCAACAGTAAAAGAAGAAAAACAAAACAAAAAGACATCAAGTTTGTTGATTTCTTTTGACATTCAACCTATGTTCAGATTTGATTTGAACTTAGTGAATGTTATAAATGTTATAGTACTTGTTTAATTATGAAAATATTAAATCATGAAGACCATTTATTGTGGGCTTGCAGACTGTATTTTGAAATGATGATTGAAGTGACAACTTCTGCATTATATCTATGTAAAATTTGTTCTCAAATGAAATGTCAAGACAAAGTCATTGACATTTCATTTACCATGACAATTCAATCTTAGTATTGTCTAGTATATTACAGATTTTAATTTTAGATTTGATTTGATTTTAAAAAACAAGCTTTTTAAATTATTGTAATTTTTTGTATTCAAGGTAACAATCATGAAATACGTTGGAGGCTGATACTTTGTATTAAGTTAGGGAAATGTACAATGCGATAATAAAACTATCACTGATAGGAGACTTCACGCAAAAATGCCTCAAAAGACTCAAGTAACATGTTTACTGTAACCTTGTTATAACAAACTCTTCAGAGAACCTAAAAATAGTTAAGTGTTGAACTAAATCTTGTAATTACAATAGGTAATATTCACTGACCTAGGTGGCTGTCATGCTGTAAATCACTAACCTAGGTGGCTGTCATGCAGTAAATCACACTGACCTAGGTGGTTGTCATGTAAAATCATGTGTATGTCTGATTCCCTATCCTTATTTCAACACTGAGGGCTAAGGCTATCTGAAGTATGATTTATTCAAAAGTATTTTACAATAAATAAATAAATAAATAAATAAATATTGAAGAACTTTTCTAATTTACAATCATGACAGAAAACAGGTTTACATGCAATGAATAGATGCATGTGTATGTCTGATTCCCTATCCTTATTTCAACACTGAGGGCTAAGGCTATCTGAAGTATGATTTATTCAAAAGTATTTTACAATAAATAAATAAATATTGAAGAACTTTTCTAATTTACAATCATGACAGAAAACAGGTTTACATGCAATGAATAGATGCAGTTAATGTCCCGCCATAGAAGATAAATACCACCATGCATTTATCACATGACCTAATATAGACATTGTGTCACATGACATAATACTGTGTATAGTCTTCGTTTCATAAGGTCGATATAAACATTGTCACATGATTGATATAGACAGTGTGTCACATGACCTAATAGACAGTGTGTCACATGACCTAATTAACAGCTTGTATCACATTAGTATAGACCTTGAGTCATATGACCTGAGATCTTATGTCTTGTCACATGACCTTGTGTATCACATGACCTTCTTGATGATTGGTATTGTCAACAATGGCTACATATAGGGCAATATACTCATCACCAAAAACAGTAGACTTGTTACTTTCCTTGAAAAAAAAAATATTCTGTCAGCTTTAACTAATAATTCTTTGCTATTATGATGAAAAAAATAAATAAATTGATTATTGTATTTGTTGAGGGCAGTATTTACACTAGCATATTTAGAGTAGTGATTCATTTTTATTGAGATCTGAAAAGATAATTGTGTAAAATATTTTTAAAATCAGTGATTTAGAATTATTATTTTAACTTGTCGATTATGTTTGTTTTACAAGTACAATCTTTGTATAATTATGAAGTGTTTTTCAGTTTTTTTTTGTGCTGTATATTTTATTCTGTTGTCACTTGCGTTTTTTTAAGATAAAATTGTTATATTTTCTTGAGAAATATTAAATTTACTTCAGAAACCGGTAACAAATTGTAACATGCTCTAAAGTTTCAAACTTTTTCAACATCGAATAACATAATATGAGTACTTGTTTTTCTTTCATTTAAATTTGCTTTTCATTATTACTATTTCAAGTTGAGCTATTTTATAAGCTTTTTCTTACATCGAGTACATGTGAATAGAATAAATTACAGCTCGTCACATGATTTATTTATTTCATATTTCATTTCCCCCAGACCATTCATCCATGATTGGTATGACTGAATAACATAAGGAAAACATGGTATCATTCATTGTCTGGCTATGCTGTGATTCAAAAACTCCATAGTTGCAATTCTGGAACAATGTGTTCACTGAGACAATGGATGAATGCTGCCAATTAAGGGAAGCTGTTGTATAAAATATCTACAGTTGGTTACTAAAAATAATTGTTTATTTATCAACTAATTACCAACCTTACAATTACCAGTAATGTAAATGTTTGAATATAGTGTGTAATTGACCCGTACAGGGTAGTTGACAGTGTGGAGAAACTGACCTGCAGAAGGCAGCTGACTGTATGGAGAAACTAACCTGTAGAGGGCACTTGTCTGTTTAAAGAAATTGTCCAGTAGAGGGCATTTGTCTGTTTAAAGTAATTGACCAAGAGAAGGCAGTTGACATTGTGTATAAATGACCTGCAGATAGCCGTTTACTGTGATTTGACTAGTGTGCAATTTATCTTAAGTTGTCCGGAGGATGGCTATTGTGAAATTCACCTATTCTCAACTATGGGACATTCGGGTATCGTACATTACAATTTCTACAATGATATTTTTACCCAAATTGTTTTAATATCTTTTACTTCATTCCTAACCAATCTAATCAAAATGTCTGTTTTCATATACTAAAATTTGAATTTACAATGAAAGAAAAGAGAACAGTCTCTGTAATGGAAAAACTGACATATAGTTGTCTTGAGGTTGAATTATACAATGTAATACATTTGTAGATATACAGGTATGAATAACAATTGCACTGTGAGTTATATAGATTTTTTTTGTCACATTTAATTTTCATAATAATTACAACATAGATAAGGGGTTGAGTTAACTTATTCTGACTTGCTGTATGTTCAAGCAGACAGACATGTACAGATGAATAAAAATATATTAGAAGATAATGTATATTTGTCATTGTAGCCATCTCTATCATTATGATGATAGTGTTACATCCTGTACACTTACCAATACTTAAGATGATGTCCATGTGACATTTCCCACATTCACAAGTTGCCCTATTCCTAAAAAAAAAACATTTCATTGTAAATAAAAACAAATATTTGGCTACAGTACCCTCAAGCCTTTGTGGGGAATCATCAATCTCGGGGCGTACTTGTTTTCCTAAATTTAGCTATTTTCACCGGCATTCCACAGCAGAGTGCAGAGCCCATAGAAACTCGTGGTACAGTGGTGGGCGTCATAGCAACGTGGAACGCCTTCTGACATTACTCCGCCGCCCCTGAGGATATTTAGAATACACTGATTGGATGGAAGTTTGAACCTAGCAAGACACAATTAAATTGGCCTGTTATGTTCTGATTCAAATGAGTATGAACCACTAATTTGACAGGGATATGATATTAATGATGCAGTAAGCAGATCTCTTAATTGCTGTTGCAATGGAGTTTTTATATTATCACTGTCAAATACATTCATTGGTCTCGGGGGGGGGGGGTGATGTGACACTGTAAATTATTGATCAAGCATTTTTTTTAATAAACTCCCCCAAATTATGACCTGCGTTCTCTCCATATGATAATGCTATGACCCAATAGTAAA